ACATTAGTAACATACTAAGGTATTTACGTACCTCGCCTTCGGCTCGGGCCGCAAACCTCTCGGTTCGCAAACAGAGACTTTTCAAACTCGTAGGAAAACTACTATTAACAAAAAAAAAATTATTTTGTAATGACTTTAAAACGATTAAACCAATTATATAAATTAAAAAAAAAAAACTGTTAAACATGCTACAGCGTATAAATACAAATGCAAATAAAAAACTGTACTATTTTTGTTTAACTAAATAAAAACGTAACAATTTTTTGTACTGCAAAATCGTAGTTTTGAAAATTCTGAAAGAAAGCAAAACAAATAAACATGTGAGTTATGATATTAACAAATAATCTTTTTTCCGAAGATTTCTGCCCTGGTACGACTTTTTAAAGTAAACATATTGATCAAAGTAATTTATTTCACTGGCGCCAGAGCATTTAATCTAATCTGCAGAAAAAGATTATAAAAACCGGAGAAAAAACAATTTTACCTACAAGGTTTTACGCTCCATTTTTTGAAATACCTTGTCTCACTACGTATAAATCATTGAAAATAAAAATAAAAATATACAAAGACTATAGTTTTTCGACACAGCTGTTCCTATAAAAAAATCAACATAAACTGTCGATTAAAAATATTTAAAAAACTTGGTAAGAATCGATAATTTAATAACTAGTAACAAAAATATTGATAAAAGAATTTCCAATGGTAATCTAGATGCTCACGTGAAAGCATTGTAATTACAATGATCGGCGATAGCACAAAACAACGTATAGTAGGAAGCAACGCGTGTTGCTAAAATCTTGTTCCTTTCTCCCAAGTTGGCACGAAGCGTACACCGGGAAAGTTCAACCGATATAATAATTATCAGATCAGATAATAGGAAACGGCACGTATATAGACACAAGTGATACGAAACACAAACGATTGCACCTCTGTGCCTCTTATTCTGCCCCTGGTCTAATGAAACAAAGACAGTAGAGTACGTACATGCATCCACTACATTGACACCCAGGGTATTACTGAAGCAGCAGGTCATAAAATGTATGAGAACATAATATACTTGCAAGAAAATAATATATGTATCCGATTTACGTGCTTTTCGAAAGCTGCCCCATGTATGTGCTTATAAAAGCGTGCGAGTGTGCTCCATTGAAATTCTTCTTTTGGCGTGAGCAATGCGAGTATAGGTATTATGCAGCGTGCCTCTTTACTTCCGTGCAGTAACGTCTCGTCTGTCTCTTCTCTATTTAGTCTCTCATCGGCAGCGACAGCAACAGGAAGCAAAGTATGCTTACTTGTACATTATATAGATATATAATTGTGGAGTACAGGTTGGCTGTGTAAGTTATTAATTATTTTTTTACAATTAAAGGGACGATTATTTTTCTGTAGAAAATTATCAGAATAGGGTTATACTATGATTACATTTTTTGGCAATTATACATTTTTTTTTTTTTTTTTTTTTTTTTTTTTTTTTTTTTTTTTTTTTTTTTTTTTTTT